GCAGGTCGGGATTTTGTGAATGCCCAAAGGCAGCGGAGGTGGCTGGTGCTCCAGCCCTGAGTGTTGGTGTGCTGACACCCTCGAGTGAATTCTGGGGCCTTTCCTGATAGCAGCCAGACTTAGCCAGGTGTTTTCAACTACACACTGGAAAACACATTTTAATAGCACTCCTCTGCCACTCGTACAAGACTTTGAAGGATGGCATTGCTCCTAGAAAGGTCTGACATCAGTGGGGTTCCCTTGTGGGCTAGACACTTGTTTTCACCAAGTTACAGTCAGGATCAGGGAAGACTTGACCTGATAATGCAGTTCAAGTCTCTAGAGGGAGAGGAAGGTAGCCTGAGGCACAGAAATCAGAGCGTGGGTTTTTTGGACTTTTGGCAAAGTAAGCAGGGGAACAGAGTACTTTCTGAAACTGTTTCTTGACCAGTGAATTTCAATGTCAGCGTCAGGCTTCTCCCAGTGCTTCTGGGTTGGGTGTAGAGTTGTTTGTACTGGGTGCTCCTGTAGAGAACTCGACTTTCAAACATGCTTCTGTGCAACAGTATTGTCTCATCTGTTTTCAAATGGCATTTCCCTGCAGTCATTGCTGAGGAAATGGCTCCGCCACAAAGCATCCTCTATCCCCCGGAGAAGATCTACATGGAATGGCAGCAGCGGCAGAGAGCTGGAGCGGGACTCGGCAACCTGGGGAATACGTGCTTCCTCAACTCTGTCCTGCAGTGCCTGACATACACACCCCCTCTGGCCAACTACCTGCTCTCTCAGGAGCACAGCCAGTCGTGTGAGTGCTTTTAAGAACATCTCCCTGTAAATCTGCTGGGCACTTCCCAGGGATACCCAGAATCTGGAATTGGATTTAGGAGAAAGGCAGCCCTTCTTTGTCAACCCCCCCGAGTTGGTGGTGTTTGAACACTCAAGCCTAGACGTCGCTTGCTGTATCTAGGCGTGTTCATCCTCAGAAAGGCACCTCTTTCTAGACTCGGCTCCCCATTCCTGCAAATTAAACTCTCTCTGCTTGTTGCAAAAGAAACCTGACGGCTGTTTAGCATCCCTCTGCAGAACGTTTTCTACGGGGCAAAATGTGCCGGGCTTGTTGGGACTTTGGCAGCTTGGGAGAAGAGGAGTGGAGACTCTTGTTACAACTTCAAGATCTCCATTAGGTTTCTTCTCAGCACTACGGGTATTTTGCTGACCTGAGGAGCTTGCTTCCCTCCCTCTTCAGGTCATCGGAGAGACTTCTGCTTGATGTGCAGTATGGAAGCGCACGTTAACGAGGCCCTGCGATCCTCAGACAGCACCATCCAGCCTTGGGCTATCGTCCGTGCTCTCACACGTAAGTCATTTCAGTTGCTTTTACAGATTTATTTCCCCCCCCCCCCCACCATTGTTGTAGGAGAGAACTACTAACTTCTTTTTTAGGAATAGGAAAAGATTTCATGCTTGGCAAGCAGGGAAGCGCCCGCCAATGCTTACACCGTACTATCAACACCATGCAGAGAAATTGTCTGAGTCGGAGAAGCAGGTAAGCATAAGCAAATTACTTTTCAATCTTCTCAAGCTTTTTGAACACCTTGATGTACTCCAATCAAGGAAACCCCACACCAAGGTCTTTCAGACAAAGGGAAAAAAATGGAGGAGCTAACTCTCTGTCTTACCATTTAGACAGAGATTGGACATCGCTTCTCGATCAACTACCATTGTCCATCAAATATTCATGGGCTATCTGAGATCCAGAGGTACTTTTCCATTGCTCTCCTTGGAATTGTCTGTGTCCTTCTGTCTGCCTGTGATAAAGAGCTGATCGTGTGACTGGCGTAGTAGCTATGAAGGACATAAACTGGCACAGTCAATTGACTTCCCCGATTGCTGAACACTTTGATTTGCCTTCCAGTCGTGTGCCTGAGCTGCAGCGCGGTTTCCACTTCCTACAGATCCTTCCTGGATATTCCTTTGGATATAAAAGTAAGAGGGCTTGTAACTGTGCTTTGGGATGTCCCAGGACCCCAGTAGCTTTCCTGAATCCACACAGTTGACTTAAAAGTGCATCCTGCAAGCGCAAGAGAGCCTGGTGGTGGGTGGGATGTGGAATGGATGGAATGCTCCTGGGGAGTCCATGGCCGTGGTCTCTCTGTAGGTGCTGGCCTTAAGCTGAACAAGCACACGTTCTCCTCTCTGCACCCTTGATGTACTCTCATCCTTCTTCCCTTGGCTCTTCCTCAACACCCGTCTGGCTCCTAGGCTGATGGGTTGCTGTGTTTTCAACTGAGCGGTGGCACAGAGATGCAGCTCTTGATAGCCCCGTGCATCCCTGGGAAATGAGGGAAATGTCAAGCATAATACCCTCTTTCTGGACACTACTTGTGGGTTCACAGTGGCTCTCCTCAGCATCACCTAGCTGGGTTTTCTGTAAACCAGTAAGTGTTTGGGCGAGGGTATCTCCCGTAGCTCAGTGCTCTCCTTTCTCACTCCTCCAGGCCGCATCATCTGTCCCTGCAGCTCTGGAGGATTTTGTGAAGCCTCAGCAGCTGGATGGTGAAAACTGCATTCAGTGTAGCAAGTAAGATGATTACTCACAACACTTGAGTACTAGGTTGTGTGTGCAGGAGCTGTATGTCATCTATCCCACGTCACCTTTTCACCTAGGTTTAATGCACCATAATGAGATGCAGCTTTTTTTAATATGGCCTTACGGTACTGAATAACCTTAAAATAGCGTGAGGATGTGTGAGCCATGAAAGGTTATCTGGCCTTCCTGGGGCAAGACAGGGAGCATTTCAGCACTTGGCTCTGTGCTTGGTTTCAAGGTGTGACAAGATGTCTGCCATCTCCAAGACAAACACAGTCCATCACGTGCCCAGGGTTCTCACGGTGTGTCTGGGAAGGTGTGAAGGTTTGACCGGCAGGAAGATCAGCAAGGTGTGTATGCAACTGGGAGTGCAACTTCCTCTTCCTGGAGCAGATCTCCCAAAGCAGTGTGCTCTTTCACAAGCTGTTCTTGTGGAGTTTTTTGTTTTCTTCTGGGGAGAGGAGAGTTCCTGTGGGAAGACAAGCGTGTACTCTGCTCCAGCAGAGCTGCTTTGGCCAAGAACAGTTTCCTGCTACCCAAACCATGACATGTTGCTTTAGGGAAAACCAAGTATTCTTGAACCCCAGAACTGTGTTGATAGAGCTCTGGCCCCTGGTCTGGGAAGGCTATTTCAGGTAGTAGTTGAGGATCATTTCTGAGCCCTCTTGGTCTCTCCGTAGGTGGTGGAGTACCCAGAGTACTTGGATCTTCGCCCGTACATGTCTCAGACAGCTGGAGAACCGCTCGTCTACTCCTTATATGCTGTCCTGGTACATAGTGGTGAGAGCTGTCACAGAGGACACTTCTACTGCTATGTGAAGGTAGAGATCAACATCCTTCCTCGCAAAGGAAATACTTGTGCTGGGGACGACAGATGTTCATGGCAGTGTTACTGGCAGCCAAGGTTTTGGGGGAGAAGGTCTCCTTAGGAGCTGGCCGGGATTTGTTTTGATTTGATGGACTCTTGGTTCTGTAGTTTTCTGCCTCTGTTTTTGCTGAGGAACCATGCAGTTCATCTCCAGGTATCAATGCCTTTTTTGACAGGCCAGCAATGGACTGTGGTATAAGATGAATGATGAGTTTGTGGATCCTTGTGACCTCGACAGAGTTCTCAGTCAGCAAGCCTATTTACTCTTTTATGTCAGGTACAAACAAGTATTAAAATGTGTTCAGAGTACACTTCCTTTTCCTGTCTTTGCTTTTTTTCTTCTCATCCTCTTTCTATTTCTGTGTTTCTCCTTCTGTCACCAGAGACAATTACCACCTGCGTCCTTCGGTGCTGTCAAATCTGAACTACCCCATGTCAGTCCTTATCTTTCCTTGCTGGGCTTTAGGGTCCTGTCTAAAGTAGTGTAAACTGCTGCTTGTCTGCTATCTGAAGCTGGCTAAGAGAGAGAAGAGCACTTTAGGGGGGCCTACAGGAAAGATGGGGAGGGACCCCTTATCAGGGGGTGTATTGACAGGATGAGGGGTAACAGTTTTAAACTGGCAGAGGGTGGATTTAGATTAGATACTAGGAAGAAATTCATCCCTGCGAGGGTGGTGAGGCCCTGGCACAGGTTGCCCAGAGAAGCTGTGGCTGCCCCTTCCCTGGAAGGGTTCAAGGTCAGGTTGGACGGAGCTTTGGGCAACCTGGGCTAGTGGACCTGGGGCAGGGGGTTGGAACTAAATAGTCATTAAGGTCCCATCCAACCCAAAGTAATTGATGATTTGATGATTCTATGAAATGGAGGTTGCAGGCAACCTGGTGGGAAGACCATGATCGAATTTCCCATTTGTAGTCTTGGTTAGGTTTTCTCTCCGTTGTAGAAACTGCTTCAAGAAATTGACCGAACCCCAAAGGAGGCTGCAAGAACAGCCCTAAACAGCGATCACTCTTTTTTTCTCCAGGTGCTCTGGACTGAAGCTTGAAGAAAGGGCTTCTTCCTCACCAGCACCACCATCTGCCTCTTCCCTCCTCAGTCAGGGGGTGGCTGGCAGCAAGCAGGTGGGTTCTGTGGAACCACAGGGTCTGCCTCCTCAGACAAAGGTAACTGGGGAGGTGGGTCAGGGCACCAGATGGACAGTGGACTTCTTTCTGGGATCTTGAAATTGCTCTCTTTTCCCTGCCACACTGCAGCTTTCTTCACAGATGCAACACTGCTCCCTCTGAAAGCATCCCGCCTAGACCCAACCCATTTCTCCACAGTTGGCCCTTCTGCCTTTGCAGCCCTCCCACAGAGCCTTTGGGAGGCCCTTAGCTGTCCCGTGCCACAGCTTCTGGGGGTTCCCCACGGTTCTGGTCCTTTCAGGAGGGCAGGGCAGGACCTTTTCACAGCTCTCTTTGAAGGACATGGTGGTGGGCACAGAGGACTTCCCAGAGACGCACTCAGGCTCCTCCACACCAGCTCCCACACCCAGGTCTGCTGGGGAGCAAACCCCACCAAGGAAGAGAGCGCGGAGGACATCCCCACGGCCGGGCTCTGGTCTCCTCAACGGGTTCATGGACACCACAGACTGTGACCTCTTAGCAGGGAGGAGGAAGAGGCAGAGGGTCTCCTCAGAGTCACAGGTCAGACACCGTTCGGGGCAGCGCGGTGGTGACAGGGGCAAACTGTGGCCCTGCATGGGGGCAGAGCGTGTCAATCCTGTGTTGATTACCTGTTGGTTCAACTCAGTAACGTGTCAGTTGCATGTTAATCCCATGTTGGTCACCTGTTACTTTTGAGTCAACCCTCTGCTGATTTCCTGCTGGTCCTGTCTCAATCCTGTGTCAATCCCATGTTCACCCCCTGTTCATCACAGCTGTGATCTGCGCAGCCGGTTCGTGGAGGAGATGGAGCACCACTGCTCTGTGAGGCGGAGGAGGAGAACTTGGCCTCCAAGTTGTGACTGTGCTCCCAAACGTGATGCAGCCCCAAGGCCCTCCAGTGGCAGCTCCCAGTTGTCTCCTGCACCCAGGGCTGCTCGAGAGCAAACAGCACCAAGGGAGAGAGCGCAGAGCAGATCCCCAC